GAAGAACGGATGGATTACAACCCGTAAAGATCACATTTTTCAGGCACTGGGGTTGATACAGAAGCTAAAATAAGTATACAAACTGTTTGATCATATTCCTCGGACCAATAAAATTGGCGAGCGCATGAACTATCACTGACGCTAAGCTGGCAAAAACTGACAGCTTTGAAAAATTTAAGCTCGAAAAGTAAAGAGCGGCGGCTTCAGACAGTAGTTTATTCAATCGAACGACAGGAAAAAAAAGGAAAACCGCACTTCATGGCAATTAAGGTTTGCAGAATTGCAGCTACAGCCACAGCCCCAGAGAAGCAGAGGCAATGACGTCTGAAAACTTCAATTAGTATACCTTGGGTGAAAAGGGAACTACGTCTCCGTAGGGAATGACAACGGACGGATTGCCGGCGGTCGCCCGAACTGTACCTTCGGTGAGGAAATGAGGAAGAGTATATATTTGTTTCTTGATGGGAATAGAATGTATTTCGATTGGAACATTACTTGGGACGAACATAAATAAAATTTACACACACAGCAAAGTATTAAGGGCAAAAAGCCCTCTCGAATTTTAACAATTTTATATTTCTAACTCTTCGACTATTAGTTGTAAAATTTTTGTCCTTGAATTATTAAAAACGTACATGTACATCGACGTACAAGGTTAAATGGAAAGAAAAAGATTTTCTATCGAAATAGTAGAAGAGCAACTTCAAATTAGGAATTTTAAAATTTCCACACTCCAAGGAATATTTTGGTATAAAATTTAAAATAATTGGTGAATGACACGTAAATTAGTGATAGATCGCTAATTTTATTCAGTGAGATTCATTAAAAATAGAGCCAAATTTGAAATCTACATGAAAATTGAAGGCTTGGAATGTAATTTGATCCAATTTTGACAATGATAAAGTGACTGAGTACTGAGTTTGTTTGGATAGAGAGAATTTGGAAAAAAATATTTTGCCTCACAAATCCCAATCACCTTTTTATCTTCCCAATCACCTTTTATCTCACACACATCACATCACAAAAAGTGCTACAGTAAATATCTCAAATAAATCATCCAAATAAACTCTTATCCAAACAAACTCCGCGTGATATTGAATAATTGTAGTTGTCAACAAACTTGATTTGAGAAAGAATAATGTCAAAATGACTTCATTTTGAGTTCGAGGAATTTTGATATAAAATTCAAAAGAAATGGTGAATAACATGTAAAATAATTGATAAATCTACTACTCTTTATCAATGAGATTCATTAAAAATGGAGTGCAAATTTGAGATCTATACGAAAATCGAAGGTTTTGAATGTAATTTGATCAAATTTTGATATTGATAAAATGGCACATCAACCCTCGGTCAATCACCTTTGACTAGCAGTGAAGAGTTGCACTTGATTTGATATGAGAAAGGAGAATATATATATATATATAAAAAACATCGTTTATGAGATAGGGCTTGTTTGGAAGTGAATTTTTGGCCAAGTTTTTTAGCTACAAGTTTTTTAACAACTTTAGCTACAGGAATCCAAAAAAACTTATCAAATTTTTTAATCTACACACTTCAAAATATCTAATACACAAAAAACTTCTATCTTTCTTCTTCTTTCTCCCCCCACCCCATCCACCATACCTTCATCGCCAGCCACCACCTCTCCCGCCGTTTCTGGCGCCGGCCACCTATTCCGGCACCGGCGTTCCCAAATTTTTTTTTTCCTTCCTTTCTCCCTCCCTGGCCAAACTCCCCCGACCGATGCAGTAGCAGCAATTACTTTCCTCCTGCTCTGGTACTTAAAAACCTTTCATCTATTGAGAAAACCTACCCAGATTCCATCGAGCCTGCCTAGCTGACTTCTAAAGAGGTTGCATTCCTCCTTGTAGGCAGAGGCAGCATGAAAATGAAAGTCAAACACAAGCAAGTCAATCCAGCAGAGGATGAAGATGACCAGTTCGTTTGAAAGAAGAGATCTTGATCAAATGGTCAAGCAGAAAGTACAATTGACTTCAGTCACGCCAACGCTACTGCTAACGGGGGAACAGGGGAACAGAGGGGGTGGCGGGAAACGAGAAACGAGAAGGGGAACAGGGGAGGGGGAAACGAGAGAGGGGAGGGCTGGCGGGGGGAGGGGGTGGCGTGCGGGGAAGGGGCTGGGGGGTAGCGGGGGCCAAGCTGGCGGGGGGAGAGGGAGGTGCAGGGCAGCGGGGGCCGGGCTTGCAGAGGGGAGGGGGAAGGGGCAGAGGGCTGGCGGGGAAGGGGGTGGTGGGGGAAGGGCTGTCGGGGGCAGCCGGGGCCGGACTTGCAGAGGGGAGGGGGAAGGGGCAGAGAGGCTGACGGGGGAAGGAGGGTGGTGGGGGAAGGGCTGGGGGGAGGGGGAGGCTGGGGGCAGCGGGGGCTGGGCTTGTAGAGGGGAGGGGGAAGGGGGAGAGGGACTGGTGGGGTGGCGGGGAAATGCAGAGCAAAGGAGAAGGGGAAAGGGAGGAGAGGAGTGGCGGGAGGGGGAAGGAAGAAGAAGAAGAAAAGAAAGAGAGGAAAGAAAAGAAAAAGAAAAAGAAAGAAAAAGAAAGAAAAAGAAAAAAAGAAAGAAAGAAAAAAAGAAAAGGAAAAGAAATTCACCTCACAAAAACTTTTACAAAATTTTTTATCTTACAAAAACTACTACAAAAAAATTTTTCACCTTACAAAACTTCTACAAAATTTTTTCAAAAACTTCTACAGTGCACTACAGTAAAGTTTTAGACAAACTCCCAAAAAACTCAGGTTCCAAACAGCCCATAGATTCGTTAGATTCAAATTTACTATAATAAATACACGTGTAAGGCCCCAAAGACAACCTAAGAGGGGGGTGAATTAGGTTGATTAAAATCTTAATCAAATTTATGCAATTTTTGCTTAATAAAAATTTACCTTCTTTTCTAGTAATGATCAATCAAGTAGATTAGAAGAAGAGAACAATATTGATTCGAAAAAAACAAGTATAGATAAGCAATGAGAATTTTATTAAACAAAAAAGAATAAGATAGAATATCAAACCGATTGTCTACCAAGCTTTCCTCAAATTTGAAGACCAATCACTAGGTTGAGCAACTTCTCTTTGATGAAAGATGATCAACTAGATGTACAATGGAGGGAGCACTTCCTCCTTGCCCTAAGCCTCACTTAGTCAAGCTAAGAAGTTTTACAATCACTCAGATAACCCTCAACAAAGCTACACTAATGAAACTTTCAACCACAAGACAAATGCTCACAAGAAATTCACACCACTTGGAGAACAAATCTAGCTTTGGAGACTATTTTCTAGCTAAAATATCTCTTGAGATCTTGTAAACAAAGTGTGCAAAAGTTCTCTGAAGTATCTGACCAACCACTATTTATATAGGACCAAGAAAGTGCCTCATTAAAGCATCCAACGGATAGAAAGTAGCTGAATAGTCAACTAGCCGTTGGGGACGTCGGACGTCCGACAGATTAATCACCGTCCGATCCCATCGTCCGAAAATCAGCCAAGTTGTCGTTCGGACGTCCGATGGGATTTTATCGTCCGAGCTTCTGTGTCCGAACGTCGTCCAGAGAGTTATCAAATCTTCGTGGAATTTTTAGAACGTCCGATGAGATTGATGTGCGTCCGAAGCATGCGTCCGATCCTTCAGGACGTCCGATGCTTCCTTACGAGCGTCCGACAGAGTTTCCTTCTTGATGTTCTTCATCCTTTCGGACATCCGATCCTGACTATTTGAGCGTCCGACAGCTTCAGCATACTTAGTCCCCTTTCAATTGCACTTGTTCATGGAATTAAACAACTTCAAAACAGAAAGTATATCTTGAAGAAATATTAGTATCATCCATTTGTTTTGTAAACATCAAAAGATAGGGATCAAGATCAACAACACGCTTTTAATAGTTTATAGGCTAAAAATATGCAAATAATAGTTAGAGGACTAAAATTATAAAATAGTTGAAGATTTTGAGAGCCAAATGGACTTTTTACCCAAGTATTCATGTACATCATATGACGTAAAACTAAACTGCACAATCGTGCAAAAACATTTACCTGCTCCAAATCCATAATTTTATAAGACTCATGCTAAACTTGACATCTCCTTTATTCGTACTTAAAAGGATATTTTCTCTAATGAGCGACTTGGGCCTTAAAAGATACTAGATAAAAGGTACATACACATACATATTATTTAAATTTCTATTTTACAATTACCTTTTCTAGCATTTTTTAGCCAAATAATTTTTTTTGGTATAACTATACATTTGCAAATGAAAATTTGCAGATATGATGCAGCATATCATCCACTGCACAAATTGTTGCAGAGATTTTGGCCTTATTTGGACGGTCATTTTCTGCCGGAAAATTACGTCGTTTTTCGTGATCACATTTCCCTATTACATTTTTTCTTTACATACATCAAATTGCTATAGTAATTTTTCTACAAAAATCCTAGAAAATGCAATCCAAGCACAACCTTGTCGAATCTCTAATATTTGTGGCCGCATAGCATTGCTCTATAATTAGAAAGACCTTTCAGGCCCCTACAATCCAAAGATAGAAGGAAGAGTGTAACAGCTATATCCTTCAAAGAGAAAATTGGCTTATGTTCATTCCATCTAGTCTACCAAGGCAAATGCTTAGGCCTTGTTTGGATTGCCGGTTTCCGTCGAAAAATTACGTCGTTTTCTGTGATCACATTTCTCTATTACCTTTTTCCCTCACATACATCAAATCGCTACAGTAATTTTTCCATGAAAAATCACGGAAAATGCAATCCAAACACAACCTTAAACACTGGTACACAATGAGCATTGAATAACTTATGCCGTGCTCTAGAAAAATGTTCCTTGAGCAGAAAATCTTCTAGGGTATCTGTGAATCCACACATTTATTGACAAGGGAATACTAAGAACTGTCCCCGCAGAGCCAGTTTTTGATAAAATTTGAAAACTCTTACTTGATGCAAACGTTCAGCTGGCGACAGTGTAGAGTTGCAAGCTATATCCTTCAAACATTAGGGCTTCAGACATGACATCATTCATTTGGGAAAGCACCAGTAAACTTCACACTCTGGGCTTTGGCTGTCCTAACAGAGATGCCTGAATGAGAGATGTCAGCGATGGATGAATCCGAGCCTTTCTCATTGTTCGGGCATCGCTTCTTCCTTCGGCATACTCCTCACCTAATGGCCGCAAATCAAGCTGCTTCATGCACGAACATTCGTCAACATATTACTATCCAAAAAAATTAAAATAGAAGCATAGATTCTTGCTACTTTTCAAAATGAAAATCCTCAAGACCACATGAAAACAAATGCAATGAACCCAACCGCCTGTAGATACTACATTTCCAACATGTCTACAGTGATGCTGAAGAGAGATCAGGATCATTTGTTTTCAAAAGTCTACAGTGATGCTGAAGACATACGACGTTTTTTCACTGAAAGAGTAAAACATATGTTTCGCCTGTATTTCCTTCGGCTAACAACTGCAACTTTGATTCTTCTTCTCCAAGCTTTGGTTTTTCGCACTCAACTTGTCACTTCTCCCATTGAGTTGGCAGCAGCTGGAAATTATTCTCTTCTTTGTTCCCCAAAAGCTCTGCAGCTGCACCAGAGTTGGCTCACCTCAACAGCAGATTCGGTTTCAGCTACTCCATTCCACGGAGAGGCTGTGGTCTCCTGTGTAAGGCGCGTGCTTGTTCCCTCACTAACTTGGCTGTTCCAGTACCTTGCTGAGTCCACCTCAAGCTTCAGCTCCCCATTTCGATCTATGGGAGGTAACGTGAAATTATTTTGGACTGTTGCCGTACGTTTTAGGGCTACATTTCGATTATTCAAATGACTTTCTTTCAAAATTTCTAGTACTTAGGAGATCGATTTGCACAAACATGATATGGTCCTCTGGAACGAAACGTGACTTGTCAATTTAAATTCATGTTTAATATGCTTAATGGTCATCAGCAGGATTGTATAATAACAATTTCACAAAACACCAGTCGGACCTTCTGTTCTTGGTGCAGAGGTTGGTTCTTCGATGTCTGGGTTTGGAAGTTAGTTAATATTGTATGTTGCTCGTTTCTTTTTAGTAGTCAGGCATGTGGAAGAGTACTTTTTCTTCTGTTGCAGAAGCCAAATGAAATTTCTCTACATAGTTTTGCTTTCTCATGTGTCTGCTAGCCAGCAATTCTGAGTGTTGCAGGAATTTGGAAGAATTTTGGACGCTGAAGTTGTCCAGACAGGTGGTGACTGTTGTTATTAATCCCCTCGTCATTAATTCTCCCAGATTGTGATTTTTCTATTGAAAATCCTTAGGTATGTTAATAACATTTTAAAACTTGCACATTAGGCCTGCATTAGCTAAAAGTGAAAGAGATTTATGTGCTTTTTTATTGCAAAGTTGAAGCTGTGTTCTATCTAATAGTGTGTTTGATGGCATTGCTTCTATTTGACCTTGGTGATTCAAGTAGTCTTGTAACTATGTAAACGGTTCTTTCTGTTGCTATCCTGAATTTTTAGGCCTGTAGGTTTGTTTCCACTTCATCTAATTTGTTTTCTCCAGCTCTTCTTATTTGAAATTATAAATGAAGTGTTTCGTGGTTCATGCTTAAAGTGTTAATGAATCTCGGCTATGAAGTGTTGTGTTTTAAAAGAAGAACCTGGTAATGGACAGTTTGTGCGCGAATGGAAAAGAAATGGCTACGCTAACTAACCTTGAGTTACATGAACTGACACGTAACCTGGAAAAAACAGCAGTTGTTAAGCCTGCAACTTTTGGTCTGCTGTAATTGCACTTCAGGCATGCTGTTCCCCTGTATGTTAGCTCTGCAAGTGTTGTGTCTGGTCCTCTGTTTATTGGGTTATGTTATTGGCTCACAACTGTTTCAGGTTTTGCCCTCTATTTTTGAATCTTCACCTCATGTTCTGCCTGCTGCCGGTTATAGGCATATGGTTTAACAAGGAACCATTAAACTGAGTTGTTGTTGCGCATTTTTTAAAAACAAGGAAGTCTTGATTGATTTTGCTGAGTTAAAGTAGTCGTTAATGGCGCTCTAACTGCTTTTAACAATGGTTCATCAGTACATCTGAATGCGTTATATGTTTGGATGCTTAGATGATTAGACTTCATGCTGTTGCTGTATAAGTGTTCTTTATCAAGGGTCAATAAATCTTTTTTCTGCCTCAAGCTTCAGCAGTTTTTTGGTTCTCTCTCGCCTTTCGCGTTTTGTAATGGATAAAATCCCCTTCAGTTTTTTGCCTACAACGCAGCCTTTCAAACTGTTGAGTGTCATACAAGCTTGGGCAGCTAGCTTTGATGATCTATTTTTCTTTTATTTGACATTCCAAACATAAGCAGTTGTTGGAGGTAGAGTCTTCATACATTGTATGCCTCGCTTGGCCATTTTGTCTATAGGGACAGTTTGCATCTGCTTGCACTAAAAGTGTCCCAACTTTTTAGGGCAGCTCCAGATTTAGGTGATCATTTGTACAAGCCTTGTGCAACTACATGCCCCCTGTGACTCGGCGTGCTTGGAAGGGTATGGAGTAATTGCTTCTTGTCTAATTTTTCCAATGTTGAGCATAAGTAATTGATCATAGTTTTGACAACTTGTTCACAGCTTTTCAAAGAAGTAGGGATTAAGCACTTGTTCTTCGAAGTCGGCGCAAGGAGAAAACGATTTGCAACTATGCCTCACTAACTACTTCAGGGTGAGTTACTTTGGCAGATCCTATACTTAATTGGGTGGTTCGATTGCCTTATATCATCATATAGATCAATTCAGGTTCACCCGAAGTTTTTTTTTTTTTCCACTGTCTGTATTTCTGGTTTTGCCGCCCTAAAGGAAAAAAAGATGAGTCGACGCGAGTGAAGTACTCGGAACATAACACTTTCACCCCAGAACATGAAATTGCATTTGCCCAACATCTTGTCAATATGCATAGGAATGGAGAAATATCGTCTCATAACATCGGGAGTCGTGTCATCCCGAGATTACTAGGATGCTTAATGAAACTTTTGGCACTTCATTCCCCCGCAACACTATTCAGTCGAAATACTATGCCCTTCAGAACTTGACCAGGCTGTATATTTCATTTAAGAGACGAGGCACTGGTATGGGTTGGGACTCTACCAACTATACTTTTATGATGGACGATGACCGGTGGAGGCATCTACTTCAGGTAGGGTAACCTTCTCTACTATTTTTTTGCTTTTCAAAATCTGTTCATTTTAAAGACCCCCTTCTCATATGCGGTTATCCTTTTAAAATGGTAAATCGCTAGGTGGTATTTGGAAATATTTGAAATGAAGCCTCGCAACCTTTTTTGGAGTGCCATGCTTCATTAATTAAAATACGTTTCTTTTTTGTAGGTGAACAAGGGCTATGGAAGATTTTATGACAGATCATGTCTTGTCTTCTATTTGCTTGAAGAAGTGTTCATGAATCAGGGAGCTACTGGGGACCTTAGCGCTGAACATGGACTATCACCCCCCAACTCGGAAGACGAGTTGGAAATGGAAAATGCTGCTAGACGTGGTAGAGGAAAGACTGCTGTAGACGTCAGTTCATCAGATGAAGAAGTTGAAGTGCCGACGACTCGGAAAGGGAAAGGAAAGGTGAAGAAAGGCAAAAGAAAGCGCAAATCGGGCGATATGTCGACCGATTCATTCTTCTCTGGTTCATCCCCCCAATTCCAGCAGTACTTCCGTGTTCTAGACAGTCTTGAGACCCATTTGAGTTGCAAAAATAGCAGTAGCATGAGTGGTTCAGTCTCTTCACCATCGAAGACTGCACATCCTCCTTTCGATGCTTATGCCGAGTTAAAAGCTGCCTTGGCCAAGCTCTGCGCTCTAAACCTGGACATTAATGCGCGCCTGAGGGTTGCTGATGCATTAAAGGACCCTTCAGAGCGGGCCATTTGGTTCACCTGCAAGACAGATATTGATCGTCTTGCGTTTGTGAGACACCGGGGGTTCCTATCCCCAGTATAGACGCTCACGGTATTCGTTTTACCTTATCAGCTCGCATCTTATTTGTGTTTATGTCCCCTAGTAGACATTTGAGTGTTACCTTGGCATTTTTTTTTTGTCAAAAAAAGGACCTGGTCCCACTTCAAGCCCCAACCCTTATTCGGGTTGTTAGATTATTCCCCATTTTTGTGACAAGGCTCGAACACTGGATCTCGGGTGTACTAACCCTTAGTGAGACCAGCTCGACTGCCTTGGAAGGGCAAGTGTTTCCTTGGCATTTAATTAGTATGAGTTTGGAAATTTTTAGTGTGGTTGTGCCACTGTACCATAGAAGAGTTTCATCCATTTTTTTTCATTTTTTCTAGTTGTGATTTGAAAGGATGTTGCCACAGTTGGACATTTAAGTTATTCCTCTCTCATCGGCTCAGTGTTTTAGAGAGTTGAACTAGTTTTAATCACAGTTGGCTGGATGGACTTCCGACTTTAATATCAGTTCCATGCATTTAAGTTTGAGCATTTTTTAATGTGTACTGATGAATTCACCCAATCTATGGGGCTATCCATTATGATGTTGTATCCCCATCATAATCGACATGTAATTTGATTTGAGAAAGGAGAATATAAAAAAAAAACATCATTTTTGAGATAGTTTTGTTAGAATTATCGGGTTCAAATTTACGGAAGGACTATAAATACATGCTTTTAATAGTTTATAGGCTAAAAATATACAAATAATAGTTAGAGGACTAAAATTATAAAATAGTTGAAGATTTGAGAGCCAAATGGACTTTTTACCCAAGTATTAATGTTTATCATATGATGTAAACAAAACTGCACAATCGCGCAAAAACATTTACCGGCTCCGAATCCATAATTTTACAATACTCATGCTAAACTTGACATCTCCTTTATTCGTACTTAAAAGGATATTTTCTCTAATGAGCTATTTGGGTCTTAAAAGATACTAGATAAAAGGTATACACACATACATATTATTTAAATTTCTATCTTACAATTACCTTTTCTAGCATTTTTGAGCCAAATATTTTTTTTGGTATAACTACACATTTGCAAATGAAAATTTGCAGATATGATGCAGCATATCATCCACTGCACGAATTGTTGAAGAGATTTTGTCGAATCTCTAACATTTGTGGCCGCATAGCATTGCTCTATAATTAGAAAGACCTTTCAGGTCCCCTACAATCCAAAGATAGAAGGAAGAGTGTAATAGCTAACTCAACAGAAAATTGGCTTATGTTCATTCTATCTAGTCTACCAAGGCAAATGCTTAAACACTTGTACACAATGAGCATTGAATAACTTATGCCGTGCTCTAGAAAAATGTTCCTTGAGCAGAAAATCTTCTAGGATATCTGTGAATCCACACATTTATATTGACAAGGGAATACTAAGAACTGTCCCCGCAGAGCCAGTTTCTTGATAAAATTTGAAAACTCTACTTGATGCAAACATTCAGCTGGCGACAGTAAGAATTAGTGTAGAGTTGCAAGCTATATCCTTCAAACATTAGGGCTTCAGACAGGATATCATTCATTTGAGAAAGCACCAGTAACCTTCACACAGTGGGCTTTGGCTGTTCTAACAGAGATGCCTGAATGAGAGATGTCAGCGATTGATGAATCCGAGCCTTTCTCATTGATCGGGCATCACTTCTTCCTTCAGCATACTCCTCACCTAATGGCCACCTTGGCCGCAAATCAAGCTGTTTCATGCATGACATATGTCAACATATTACTATCCAAAAAAAAATAGAAGCATAGATTCTTGCTACTTTTCAAAATGAAAATCCTTAAGACCACAAGAAAACAAAAGCAATGAACCCAACCACCTGTAGATGCTACATTTCCAACATAATTCTTTCAAAAATGGAGTTCCTCCAATCTCCACTTAAGGTAGCCTGATTCCTTAATTTGTAATCAGTTCACGTTTAAACATGCAATTCATTTGTCCAGATTAACTAAATAGAGGAATTTTGAGGATCGCTTTACAAACCACGTTAACCAAACCTGAAATAACACATTTGCTCAATTCTTTGCTTATTCAAAGTTCAAGAGAGCAGAAAATGGAAATTGACTAAGCTAATTAGCATTACGGCAGCAAGTCTGATCCATGCGACCACTTAACTTTTTCTCCATCAACTAATAGGTTTTGGAAACCCATATGAAGTGAGAAGTCATGAAGTAATCAACTTCTTCTTTCATATGAGAAAAGAGGCAGTAAAGACGAAAAATATAGAGCTTACTCTTCTATTAGAGATATAGCATCCAAAGCAAACAAATTCTAGCCAAAAAAATCTTTAAAATCCAAATGAAAGCACCAAAATGACAAAACCTGGGCATCTTCAGGTTCATTGGCAGGTGGTGGAGGATCATATCTTCCTACCCGGAAATGTTCCACGCCGGTCCAAGCAATCATTACACCTTTCAGAACAAGCCAACATTATTCTTCAAGACAAGGCCCAACGTACTAGCTTTTCAGAGTTCAAATAATTTAGGGTTAAAACAAAAAAACCCCCTGTGGTATATCTATTATACAGAAAAGGCCCCCATGGTTTCAAAACATACAAAACGACACCTCATGTTTTGAACTAAATTGTAAACTAACAGAATTTGTTAAACTTAACGAAAATGACGATTTCGCCTGTTCAACTTACCGGATTCTGTTAAGTTTACCGTTAACTTTACCGGATGACGATTTTGTCTGTTAAACTTACCGGATTCTGTTAAGTTTACCGTTAACTTTACCGAATTCCGTTAAATTTTCCGTTAAATTTTCCGGATTCCATTAAGTTTAACGAATTCCGTTAGTTTGCAATTTAGTTCAAAACATGAGGTGTCGTTTTATATGTTTTGAAACTATGGGGGTTTTTCTATGTATTAGGTATATCACAGGGGCTTTTTTGTTTTTAACCCAATAATTTAACATCACCAAGATTTGGGCAACTTTTCCACATATGCAAATGAACCCCTACCAGGCCTAAAACAAATTAAATATGTTCTCAATGATGGGTAGATATCTAACAGATTACCACCAGAAATTGAATGTCGATGCAGCTATTCAATTGAGACTAGCCTATTCACTTTATTTTAAATTGCAAAAGTATTGTCTGTAATGAGCACTTGGATCCATCCTAATGTTGTAGTACACGAGCTTGAACCACAGAAACCACACACAATCTATCTACAAGTTATTTGTCCGAAGTTTGTATTTTTCAACTGCCAGTTATTAAAATCAAGTACCTCTGCAAATTAATCACTTTTGCATTTTCTCAATGTTAACTGAATTAGCAGGAAAAACACTTAGCACCTTACCATTATCAGTACAGAGGCTAGGAGGAGGGCACAAAAGTTGCAGGGCATTCCTTTCCACTACCTGATTAAGGCGAGAGCGGACAAACTTGTTTGAAGCAACACCTCCGGAAGCTACCTACGATGGGAGTATAAAGAAATTGCTCTGAGACAATATTCAAAGCAATATAAAGCAACAAAGCGCATGAAGTCTAGAATTCGAGAGTACAACAGCGTGGAAGCCAATTGGGAATCTTATTTCACGCACCAAATACTTCACAGAAGGCTCAATTTTCAATGCCCATTCAATTGCTCGTTGGCATTTTTCCTCTAAATGTAATACTGCAACTCGCTGCACAAAGATACTTCCAATGTTTAAAAAAGAGTAAAGCAATAAAGAAGAAGATGCTCATTGAACACTATTGTTATATTATATTTAAAGAAAGCAGACATGTGGAACTATATGTTAAAACTTGATTTTATTTTCTTTTCATGAAATAAAAGCCAAGACCATTATCACCTGGAAAGAGGCAGCAATATTTGCCCTGCACCTCTATCTTCACTACTAGCTGAAGAAATGGGGATTTCAGCATTGCTGCATGCACAAACGTCCAAGGAACAAAATAAGGTCAGAGGTGAGAGAGAAGAGGAACTTTGAACATCTAAATGTTGAAATGATTGATTGCTGGGTTAACCAACAATAGCTGCAGGGACAGAAATTTGTTCCAACTACACGATTAATACTTTTTCCAAGCATATTCAACATGATTGACACAGCTAGAAAAGAAGATTCTTTTAGATCTTTTGCATATTTTCCCAGATATGCTATAGTCCACAGCTAATATTTCAGCATTTTATATCCAAATAGAAGATTCAAAAGGAAGAATCTGGGACAAGACGTGACCTTCTTATCAACAGCAATAAAGAAATATTTCTTCATGGGAAAAACAATGTTTTTCATAGGCTAAAAGCACCTACATATTCTGTGCTTCGATTTCCAACCTCACTTGATTCTTTAGCCCTGCATATGAGAAGTTGCAGTCTTTGTGTTGTTTCATAGGAACCTAACAAACAACCACTTCAAAACCTGAGCTCAATATGAAGATCAAATTCTGGTCAAACTGTTTCAAAAGAAAACAAATGACACTTGACATAAAATTTCTCCAAACTTACTCTGAATTTGACTGCTTCTGCATCTCCCTCATGAGCTAACTCCTCAATTGCAGGCCCCCACTCCTCCTCATATCAAGACCAAGCCATTTTGCAGTCTTGTCATATGCCTCCCCAATTGCATCATCAACTGTGGTACCAAGTTGTATGTAATGGCCAAGATCCCGGGCAAGAACTAAAAGGTTGTGTCCTCCTAATGATCAAAATGTTAAAAGTGCATTGACTTAATAAGTTCTTCCCCCCAAACCCCCCCCCCTTCTTCCCTCTAAGCAAATTGACTTAGTAAGTTAAATAGTAACTAAGTTAAAAGGGTCGTCAAGACTCAATCCAGTAAATGACCAAAATCATTTCACCTAAGACCCATGTGCCACTTTACAAAAAACAGTACCAGGAAATGTGTTAGAATAATGTAGAGCCCTCTGGAGCATGGTAATTCAAGATTTCTTATTTTCAATCCAGGTAATTGGTCCTACAGCACAGCTAATTACTTTTTCTATTTTTTTTAGCAGAACTCTAGTCTGTCTCAATTCTTCTTCAAGTGTGTGCGTACTGTAGCATTGATGCACATTTGAAAATGGGAAAATAAATGTGACAAATTTAAATGAGTGCTGTGATTTATCATACCTGAGATGAGCAGGGCGAGAAAAGGGAATTGCAGTTTCTTTTCTACTAACCTAGAGAGGGGAAAAAAATTGAATAAGGCAAATGACTTTTCATGATAAGTTGAAGCTCATTCTCTTTCAACTTTCGACGAACTGAGCATAGTTGCATACAAGATTTTTTTGATAGTAATAGCTACAGATTTATTATTAGAATTGGAGTGCAAATTCCATCCACGCTTTAAGGCCAGATCTCTTTATGTTCACCTTTACAGATGAGGCACCGGAAGACAAACTAATTGGAGAAAAACCTAAATCAATGTACTTTTAAGTAGCAGGTAGATTTCCAAGTGATTTTCAATGCCTCATTTCTTCACAAACCAGTTAAGTTGATCCCTCACCATAAGACAAGAAAAATGAAAGTCATATCTCATTA